CATCATCAACAAGAGTGAACACGCCTTTCCCTTCTGATGATGGTACCGTTCCTACTTCATTCCAGCTTTTTCAGATTTGTTGCGCCTTTCTACGACATATTTTTCAATAGGAGAACCACCGTCGTTATCAGGAGCTTCCCACTGGAGTGACAGTGAATCCTTGCTGATATCCGTTGCTATCATATTTTTGGGCTTGTCAGGAGTGGCTTAAAACAATATGCGGATTACTGGCAAATACACGATATTAATAGAATTAATAGCTAAAAGTCGTTAGAATCAACAGTGATAAAGTCTGAAGTATAAATACAAAGATTACAATAAGGGTCTTTAGCAGTAATTGTTTCACTGGTGAGTGGTTCAGATTGACCGACATCATTCACTGCTTTCACTCGGAATTTGTATTGTCCATTTTCTTTCAAACTTTTGACCTCGAAATATTGAAATTTTAATTGTTTCGAAATAAAATTCACTCTACAAATAGAAGGCATTGTTAAGAGCAACAATTTTACAGCAATAAATTGTGAAGCTACTCAGTAGAATTATCTGCTTATTTCGTTAATATAAATTCCCTGATTATATTGACGCAACTGTCATTGAAATTCCACATCAAACTTCCGAAATATGCATCACTCGCTATGAACTTCCAACAACAATTTTACGATTATATACGAATTCTCATTGCTTTCAATTAAAATTTCACAAAAGTCAACAATAACCTTAAATTCGGTTTGCTTTGTCTCGCCAATTTTCGTCCATTTTCCATCACCCTCTTGCATCTCAACGATGTACCCTTGTACAGGAGAACTATCATCAGCATCAGGTGGATCCCATTTGAGGTCGCATCCTTTGGCGGTAACATTTTTGGTTTCAAGTGGTCCCTTCGGTGATTTGGGTTTATCTTTGACGATTACTTCAAATGGTGCAAGAGCACTGCCACCGGAGTTACTGAGCTCTAGCGTCCACTTTCCAGCATCTTCTTTCTTCGGATTCTGAAACTCATGGAACAAAAGTAGAGCTTTTCAGACCAATTTTTAAAACTTGTTTCTCTGTTATTACATTTTATCTCCATGGTTTTTTCAGTTATCAAATATATTATCAGCTTATCACGTTAAAAAGGCTTTCGACTATTTCCACAAATTTTAATTTGAAGTATGGAAATTTTCCGGATTGGGATGCAATGTGATAAATAATGAAAGCAAACACGTAACAGTAATAAGTCCTAAGCATTTTCTAATCTGTCCTCTTCTATTGATAATGCTGCTATTACGAAAGCGACTTTTTAACTGTGATTTTCTTTAATATGTTTTTCACAATGTAAAATTACTGGATAAATGTAAAGATTGTAGTTGCGTGTTGCATTTCTTATAAAGATTGTAGTTGCGTGTTGCATTTCTTGTAAAGATTGTAGTTGCGTGTTGCATTTCTTATAAAGATTGTAGTTGCGTGTTGCATTTCTTATAAAGATTGTAGTTG